TGGGACGAGTCTAATTCTACAGCGGTCATCGGTGGTCGTGTTTTTAAATTAATTACCGCAATTCGTGGCTCGGACCGGGATTCATATTCGTTGCCATTATGCGGACCGCTTTCTGTGCCGGGCCCTGAGCCTCCCTGGACGGTCCGGGTTTCGCGGGGAGGCCACGGTCGTTTCCCGTACCCCGATTTTCAGTATTTACGCCTGTCCTTGTAAACGATTTTTAATCAATCTGGTTGATGTTAATTATTTTGGTTTCGATATTACAGCAATTTCGATACTAGATCTCTTTCAGATCTTACTTAAAACAAATCTCAAGAATTCTAACGAAGTATAACAGCGAAAAAATGACCGATAAATTAAATAAATACATTGTAACTTCCGCATAGCGTACGTCTCCCCACTCTGGCCCCTCGTCCCTATATTACGAATAGTTAGTTACTAGATAGTAACTAGATTGCGAAAACCGCTCACAAAATCATAAAATATTATAACTGTTGAGTCCCGAGTTCGCGATTTAGGGGAAAAGGAGGTGGGTTGGTGTCCGTGGAGCACTGAACCGCTCTGCTCGGCGAGGCGCGCAAAAATCAAAACTACTCGATACGTTTCAAAGTACTTTAGCGAAATTTATTTGTTAGAGTTAACTCAGTGTGCGATCTTTTAGATACAACTCGGTCGAGATTGATTCTCCGCGAAAATCCTTTTCATCGTCCTAGGCGTTCGTCCTTCTCCGGAAAATTCTCTATCCACCCTCTAGGTTGTCCTGGTCCAATCGGGATTTGTGTCCTGCCCCATCCGTCCGGATCGTTTTCGATCGGAGATCCACCCCCGAGCCGAGTGGAGGTGGAGACTACGCAGTCATGTTCAGAGCGGGCGCATGTGAGAGAAAGCGTGCGAGTCGAAAGAGAAAACGAAGCTAGCGGCCTAAAGCAACCCTTAAGAAAATTTATGACCCTCGTGGAAAGAACTGAACGGAGCGCGAAATGATGTGTCGCGAGGACCATGCTGTGTTTCAAGACCATCGCAACTCTTAACAAAAATAGCTAATTCGACACGGTCTGTAATAAACTAAAAGAAGGGACGACGGAAACTCCGATTCGACACGGCCTTTAGAAAATAAACTAACAATAAGTGTCAGAAATCACTTCCTTTCTCTCTACCTTCCCCAGCTTGATCGCCCACGTTGAAAAGCATACAATTGCATTGTTCATTGTAATACGCTGATCCGTTTAAATTTTGCTCTTAAATAGAATACAGTTATATGATTCTGCACTCGACGGTGAGTAATCGGGTTTCAATTAATGCCTGTTGTGGCGCTATGTGCATTAAAGTTACAAGATTAGATGTTAGTTTATTATAAGTTGAAGGAATACTGTTGTATGACTAATTCATAAGTTCAACATAGATACCGCATCAGAATCATCCTTACACAAACATCCTAGTCATAGCTTCCAAATTCCAGCCTTTCTAGCCTCCTGTGCCCGCTTACTCACCCTGTACCCGCTTACTCATCTTGTACCCGGTTACTCATTCCATACGCCGCCATTGCTACCCTCAAATATATAAACGATGCACATTTTTGGACTCAGGTCAGATCTCTGAAGTTTGTACCAACGCTGCAACGTGCGGAACTTGCCGTAACGATCTAATAAACCCACCAGTCTCTTTAGTAAAGTGTTGTTCTTAATCTCGCAACCCGGGATCCAACAATACAAGATAATAATGGATTGAAATCACACTCGTCTCTCTCTATTTCTTATCGCTTGTTAGTCTTCCTGATCGCGATTACCGAATTTTGCGTTATTCATGGACTTACACCTCAGAGGAGGGGGCTCTCCCCATCGACGGCTCGTAGCTCACGATTCCAGTATCGACTAGTTATCGATTGTCTCACATGTATTAATCGTTACGTTTACCCATTGTTAATTATTATATTCATTCAGGTCTTGTAAAAATTCATTTTGGTTAATTAATATAATAGAGTTTAAGCACGCGTAGGGTTAAGAAATATAGATTTTATGTACCTTTGAAGCGAGCTGGACGTGAGATATTAGCCGAGCATAATCACGCTCAATCGCCAGTAAACAAATCAAAGAATGTTACATATCTACCTCCGGCGTAGGTGACCGGAGGAGCATGAGAACGCTTCTGAGTGCGAAGTCTCAGCCGGCGATACTCGGGGATTCCTGGTATTGCAGGGAGACTTTGAGCACAGGGAGAGGTCTCCCACTCCTCTGATTACTCAGAATTTAACGAGAAACATTAAATAAAAGAAGCGTCTCCTCCTAATGTGCAGCAGAAATAATGCTCGTCAATAGTCAATCAGATAGACAGTCAGCCCGAAATCAGTCAGAATGTCTTGTAATTCGATTGTCATATATCGTAGAGCCGTGCAAGGCTTTACCTTTGAAGAATAAATCGAAGTAATCAAATTTTAGTGATGATCAATTAATTTCTTTTCCTAATCCAATTTCCCGAACGGCAATAGCATGCATGTCAAAATTAAAATAAAGTCTTCAACATTCTTTTATCCAGTGGGTTATTAAGTGTCGAAACCCGCCCACAACATTTAAAGGAATATTCAAGGACTACAGAATATCCTACTATTCTACCGGGCTACTGAGCGTCGAAGACCGCCTGGGAAAATAGTAGCGAATCGTCGCACTCATAAAATTTAAATGCTTAAGAGAACCCATCGGCCGGCACCCACAGACACGCAATTACTCGGAGTTCGAGCTCCGCCAATCGAAATCGCGATTTCCGCCGTCGGCACGCCGCCCCCGGAGGAATATTAAACCAAGTAAGTCTAGGGAAATCCTTTTTTACCAATGCCGACGGAAACCAGACGCAACACATATGTATATCAATATTTTCATATATGTAGAAGTATGACATCATCATGACAAAGATATAAAAAGAAATAACGGTAAAATACCGGTATTTTGCATAAGTACCGGTATAAGTCCCTACTCCCTAGTTTCTATCATATCATGCATCAACTACCTATTCTATTTATACAATATTTGTTTCTAACTCTAAAACAAAGTGTTCATTTACAAACTTTATATAACATTCTTTCTTTTTTTGACTTCTACAGTAAATTCTTGAAGTTTAGCGAGAAACTCACGGAACACCCTGTATATTCTCTAAAATAGTGAAAATTAAATGAAGATAAATGTTCTTCTAACATTAACATTAACATTAATATAGCAACTGCAAAATGAAGCTGTTTATGGACGAAAAATATAAATATGGTTTATTTAGTTTGATCATCAAACTAGAGTTAGCTCAAACACGAACGTCTCAGATTGCAAATGCAGCTGGGACTTTCTAAATTACATATTCTATATTCATTATTCAAGTATCCGATTATTCGTAGTACATATTTGAACAGTGTGATGTGAACTGTAAATTAAATTCTTTATGTTCATTGTTCTTGTTTAAACTTTATTTTTAATTAAAATGTTTCATTAACGATATTCTACACAACATTTTTATATTTATAAAAAAAACTAAATAAACCATATTTATATTTTTCGTCCATAAACAGCTTCATTTTGCAGTTGCTATATTAATGTTAATGTTAAAAGAACATTTATCTTCATTTAATTTTCACTATTTTAGAGAATATACAGGGTGTTCCGTGAGTTTCTCGCTAAACTTCAAGAATTTAATGTAGAAGTCAAAAAAAGAAAGAATGTTATATAAAGTTTGTAAATGAACACTTTGTTTTAGAGTTAGAAACAAATATTGTATAAATAGAATAAGTAGCGCATTTTTCGTTACATCACGTAGTAGGTCGAGGAATTGCATTGTGTTTATCTGGTCTGCATAGTTATCGTCCTTCCACGACAAGAAGGCTTAGCGTGTTTATATCCCCACTCTTGCTGCAGTCCACTGATTGGCTGTCACCGATCTTCGTCATCGTTTTCGACCAATACCTGTAAGTTAGAGGACTGCAACAGGAGTGGGGATGCAAACACGCTGTGCCTTCTTCTCGTGGAAGAATGGTACATGTTTTTTATCATCTAAAACAAATTACAAACTATATTCCATGTCGTACTATTTGTAATATATTATTTTAAAATGATATCCTACTGCTCTCGAATGTAAACTTAAATTCGATAAATAAGTTCCTCAGTATTTTGCTGAGTTTCAATAATTGCATTTTTAATTTCTTGCTTAAATTTATTGTATGAAATCACTTCTATCAAATAAACGTTTTATTTTAAACTTCTCCGCATGAAAAAATCGAGTGGCATAATATCGTTTCTAATTCTAAAACGAAGCGTCTATTCACAAAATGTAACATTTTTTTCTCCTTTTAATTTCTAGATTAAGTTCTCACAATTTGATGGAAAACCATGAAATATATCGCATAACTGTATTTACACATATTTTACACATGCAGATTATTGATTATCTTCTAAGAATCATCGATTTCATTCGCAGCAACGCTTCATTCGATGTGTGACCCGAATTAACTGATGACGAGATGTAATGTTTAAATACATCATCACTAGATTGATATATGCGCATTATTTAAATAGTGCTCAGATATGAATGTTGTTTTATTCGAATAATTTGAATACTCAAATATTCGAAGTTTATTCATATTCGAATACCAATAAAATATTCAAATAGCCTCAATTCTAATCATAGAGCGATATATGTCAACATTCTGTGTTATTCCAAGGAATATGCATGTAACGGATCGTTGCACAATTTAGCTGTTATGCTAATAATTTATATCACGCGAACCTATTGTGTGAACAATTGATATTAGTAAAGTTATTTTTACCTTAATTTACATTGTGTTATATTACAACAATTTACTACGTCTAAACAGTTTTAAATCTTAAAATATTAATAGCTTGTATGCGAATACGATTTGGTGTGGTTTGAAATGTCCTTGGATTATTACATGAGCTTCCACTCTAGTCTATAAGATGCTCTAAGTCTGATGTAAAGTATGATTTCGACATATGAATTATCAGCGCCATTGCATGCCACGGTTTATTATTTACCTGAACGGGTCGCGAGTAAAATGCGAATAATTCATAATCGTGAAAGAACACGATTTTTAACGAATTTTAACAATAAAATCAGTAACACTTTCAAGTGATCATTGTAAGTGATATAATCATAATATTGTAAACTCAAAAATGTTTAAGGGCAAATTTGATAGATTGTTACCTGTCCGTTGTCATTTCTGATAATCGGCATGAGACGTGCCAACTCACCTACTATCAGTTAGATACGAATTCTGTTACGACAGTATGTGTTCAACGAGAAACAGTTTATAATTTGCAATGAGATAAATTTGTATGGTAAGCCTGTAAAAAAGGATTGCGATACGATGGCAAGCACAGCTATCGCAACTAACCCGGAAAATAATTCCAAATTTTTGGAGTCGTTGCAAGCTGATTTTAAGTCTCTTGCTTCTGAAACGAAGAAAAAGTATCCACAAATCAAAGAAGTATGTTCTTCCCCTTCACCTTTTTAATAAATAAATACCTACTGTAATTTAACATTAGCTACAGAAGTTAGGTTAGTTTATCAACCTAAAGTGTATTTTTGCGAAAATTCATGGATAAAGTAGTCTCTATTAAAAATCAAGTTCTTGTCATTGCTTCAATGACTTTTTGAATACAGGATCGAAAACAGTTTTAAGGAATGCTATGTATAGACGACATATTTTTAATATTGTTATATATAATGTTTCTATTCAATTTGTTCCTATAATTTGTTGATACTAAAAGAATATATTTCTAAATGTTTGTAATAAATATTGAATGATTTCTTAACTAAAAATAAGATTTATATATTGTACTGCTTATCAATTCTTCTGTCAAATATATAGAAAGATGTTAATAAGTAATTTTCTTCGATATAGAATTTTGGTTTGTGTTATTCTAATAATTTTTTATAACACAGACAATAACATTAAAATTGTAATTAATTAAAATCACAATTGATATTAACTTACATATAATTCATTGCAGTCATGCGAGGAAGGAATTACAAAAATAAGATCCGCTGCAAATGCTTCGGGTACACCTATTTATTATATTGTTAATCAAATCTTGTATCCTTTGGTTCAAGGCTGTGAGAGTAAAGATGTAAAAATTATTAAGGTACATATTGAGCAACATGCTTTCCATTATTTCATTCATATTAATTACAACTTTTACGTTTATTCTCTCAATATTACATTTTTATATGTTTCTAGTTTTGTTTAAGTATAATGCAAAGGTTAATCACGCAACAAGCTGTTGATCAAAAAGGTGCTCGTTATATTACGGACACACTATGGATGTTGATGGAAACAGGAACAGAAGAAGTTAAAGTTTTACAAACTGTAACTTTGTTACTCACAAGTAATACTATTGTACATGGTGAAACGCTTGCAAGGGTAATAATTTAGATTATCTAGGAAATTTGAAATTCTCATGAACTTTTTATAATAATCATAGGAAAAAATTAATTTTTCCGTATTCACCTAATCTAATTGTAAATTGTAAGATGTAATGTGTAATTTCCAGAATCTGGTTCTTTGCTTCCGCTTACATTTTACAAAAGATTGTACAACAATCAATACAGCAGGAGCCACAGTGAGGCAACTAGTATCTCTGGTATTTGAGCGTGTTGTTGCAGAAGATGAACAGGGTCTTGATAATGTAAATTTTGATGAAATAAATTTAGAAGAACTGAAAATCCCGACTAATCAGGCACCCAAAGGTTTAGGACCATGTGCTGCCGATGCATATTTAATGTTTCAAGTAAGATATGTAACTTAAGTTGTTAAATTACCGAATAAAATTAAATTACTAAATATACATTTGTTCCCAGGATTTAGTGCAATTAGTGAATGCAGATCAACCTTATTGGTTAATTGGTATTACTGAAATGACACGTACATTTGGGTTAGAATTGCTAGAATCTGTTTTAACGAACTTTTCATCTGTATTTTTTAAGGTATATACATTCCAAATATAGGTAGTTCAAATACAAAGTATAAATTTCCAATTTAATATTTTTTCAGCACTCAGAATTTAGCTTTTTGTTAAAGGAAAGGGTTTGTGCCCTTGTAATTAAACTATTTTCACCCAATATCAAATATCGTAATTCTGTTCCGGCATCACTTCAGCAAGCTACACCTCTGGATAAACCTTATTTCCCTATTAGCATGAGACTTCTCAGAGTTGTTTGTATTTTAATACAAAAGTATCATTCTCTTTTGGTAAGCATCATAGTTTTGATATTCCATAATATATTTTAAAAGTAGAAATTGTTTAAAATGCTCGTGAGAAATTAAAAATAAAGTAGTACTACATAAACATGTTTTAATTAAATACAAATGTATACTAAATCCATCAATAACATTTATTTCCGATAAATATTCTTCTGTTTTAAATTAATATCTTGTATTCGAATATTATACAAATAATGTAATGTGATTAAATTAACATTATGTATTACTGTGTGTATGATTTCAGGTGACAGAATGTGAAATATTTTTATCTTTAATTGTTAAATTTTTGGATCCTGATAAGCCAACTTGGCAGAGAGCTTTAGCATTGGAGGTCTTACACAAAATGACAGTTCAATCTGATCTGCTTACAAACTTCTGTGAATGTTATGATTTAAAGCCTCATGCAACTAATATTTTTCAAGACATTGTCAATAGTTTGGGTGCCTATGTACATAGCCTTTTCGTTAATCCTCAAATGATGAATCAAACCAATATGGGTAAATTTACTTTCATTAATAATGGTGGAACATTAAATAAAGATGAATTAATGCATTTATAATAACAGCGACAGGTACAGCAGTACCACAAAATACTACTTCTCCATTATTCACGGGAATGCCAATAGGTCCTGGTGTTTCCCCTCAGCCTGGTTTTTACTCGCGTGGTATTTGGCTGCCGGTAGTTGCGACATTCACAAGTGGTCAAGCTAAATCTACTTAGTAAGTACATTCTCACTCTTTATAGTTTTAACATTTAATTAAAACGATTAGCAAACTGTTAACAGAGTAATTAATTCGACGTTCTAGCATATAAAGAGTGTTTGGCCACCCCTGAGAAAAATTTTAACGGGAGATTCTAGAGGTCAAAATAAGATGAAAATCAAGAATACTAATTTGTTGATGGAGGTTTCGTTAAAAAGTTATTAACGTTTTAAGTTCCGCCCGTACTGAATTTTTTTCTAAAAAGTATGTAGGATTTCGGGGGTAGGTCTATTCACCAAAAATTATTGTAATTGAGCCCCGCAACCAAAACTAATTTTTTCAGAATGATTTGAAATTTTTTAATAACTTTTTAATGAAGACTCAGTCAAGAAATTGATATTCTTGATTTTCGTCTTATTTTGGCCTCTAGAATCTCCCATTAAAATTTTTCCCAGGGTTGGCCGAACACCCTGTATATACAGTGGAAACCTTTTTTCAGAATTCACTTGAAGTTTAACATAACTGAAAAACATAGACAAAAATGTCGAATTAATAAATGTTTATTCAGAATTTGGCCTCTCAATCCATATTTAGCCTTCATTTTCCTAAATGTAGTAAAGTAAAGTAATTTTTATAAACTAATTGTTAAACGTATCTTAAATTTTCTTTGTGCAAATAATTCAAATAATTTTTAGCTTGGACATGCTTGATAAAGTTGAGCCACCACAGATTCCAGTTGGCTATGGAATAAGTATAGCCTATGCATGTTTATTGGATATTATACGTTCCATCTCTTTCGCCATTAACGGCTCTGGTGAAGTTTTAACTGGAAATCAATCTTATAAACCAAGCGAATCTGAACGTAAACTTCACACCCAGCTTGTTAATTCTAGCTGGTGTGGACTGTTAGCAGCGTTAAGTCCGCTCATAGATGCCAGGTAAAAAATATTAATGTTTACATTAATTATTTTATTTTATATTTAAAATTGTTTCCATAGTATACAAAGATAATTTCTTTTTTATTATAATTGTTAGCACCGACGAATCTGCAACGGAGAACGTATTAAAAGCAATTCAAACTTTTGCGTCTCTGTGTGGACAACTAGAGCTACAGACTCCACGTGATGCATTCATTACTGCAATCTGTAAAGCTTCGTTACCTCCTCACTATGCATTGACCGTATTGTATAATGCTCCCCAGGGTATACCGAGCGCAAGACAACAAGATTCCACTCAATACAATTTAACTATTGGAGAACCGGATTATCGGCAACAGGTAGTTGCTGTTGGTACTCCATTGCCTACCGCATCTCTACCAGTTGGTGAGTAGAAATAACTGAAAAGCAAAATGATTCCTAAAAGAACTTAATAGAACCATGCATTATTAATTTGAATAATGAACTATCAGTGATATATGTATTTATTTAAAATATTTATATTTAAATAGAATATAATTGATATCATGATTGATCATATAGATCGCTACAACTCAATGTTAGATCTAATGCATTAAAAAAGTAATAAAATAAAATATACAGGGTGTTCGGCCACCCTTGGGAATAATTTTAACGGGAGATTCTGAAGGTCAAAATAAAACGAAAATCAAGAATACCAATTTGTTGATTGAGACTTTGTTAAAAAGTTATTAACGTTTAAAGTTCCGCCTTTCGGTATAAGAAACTCTACTTACTGATCTATCGACAGTCTTACAATTTTGTGAATGAGAACCATTATACGCAGCTGTTCGCAGATTGCCGTTCTACAGGCGAAACTTTAAACGTTAATAACTTTTTAACGAAGCCTCGATCAAAAAATCGGTATTCTTAATTTTCGTCTTATTTTAGTCCCTAGAATCTCCCATTAAAATTTTTTCGAGGGGTAGCCAAACACCCTGTATACATGAAAAAGCTTGTATCTTTGGACTAACTATTTACGTTTTTGTTTTTATTTATTTGATAAAATTAAATTTATTTTAATAAAACAATTATTTATAGTAAAAACTTAATTAAAAATTTTACACTGTGTGTTAAGAAATGTTTATACGAAACCTATAATGCAAATTATTTGATTATAATATTTTTTATATGTTGCTAATAATAATGATAACAGTGGTATGCCAAAATGAATGCTAAATTATGTCTGTGCAGGTGCGCACCAAGGGCCTGTTATGTTAACAGCAAAGAATTTGCAGTGCATGCGTGCGTTACTTTCTCTCGCACATTGTCATGGAAGCATACTCGGTGGTGCATGGCACTTAGTACTTACGACATTGCAGCATCTTGTCTGGATACTTGGCTTAAAACCTTCTACAGGAGGATCTTTGAAAGCTGGTAGAACTGCTGCCGATCCAAACGCAGTACTAACAAATGCAGTTATGGCAGATTTACCTGTACTCAGTGCCATGCTTAGCAGACTGTTTGAAAGTAGTCAACATTTGGATGATGTAGCTTTACATCATCTAATAGATGCACTTTGTAAATTAAGCCACGAAGCGATGGAGTTGGCATATTCTAATAGGGTAAATGTCAAGACCTTGTGTATCTCATAGTGGTAAAATTAAGGGGATATTCTTCTCATTGATAAACAGAAAAAAAGGTGGTGTTCGGAATTTATTACAATAAAAGTATAAACGTAAATAATTTCAGATTTTAATATAAGGTCATAATATATGTTTTTTATGCTTTAACATATTTTAACGTTGAAAATATAAATACAATTTGCTTGTAAAATCTGTTGAAATATAAACTGCAAAAATATCTGCAATGCTATATCTAAACTGCAAATATTCTACAGAATATTTTGTCTTTGCTTGATTGGAAATTTCAAATAAATTCTTATTTTTCTAAATTGAAAATGTTCAATGAAGTAATTTAAAAGGTAAAAATTACATTTTAGTAAGAAAATTAGTGATCTTGGTTAATTAAAAAAAAAGTACTCCATATTTTCCGTTGATTCTAGTTCCAGTATTAGGAAACATATGTTTTATAAGTTTTTACGATTTCATCAAATCCGAAAAATTGTGTTTTGATAATGGACAACCTCGATTATGATCGTAGAATCGATATCGTATAAAATAGTTAATAATTTCATAAACACACGAGATAATTGCATACCAATTTTTGTATACTTTCTGAAAATAAGAATGTGTATATATGCTAAATTTCAAATACCAAGATCTTATACTTTTTATTACATAAAATTTTTCAAATTACCTAAAAAATATCGTTTTAAATGAGAATAATCTCGTAAAAGAAAGTTGTGATATTTTCTTTCCAAAGAAGAATTCTAAAAATACTTAATATTCTTGTATTAGGAACCATCACTGTTTGCAGTGGCAAAACTATTAGAAACTGGTTTGGTAAATTTGCCCCGGGTAGAAGTTTTATGGAGACCACTAACGAATCATTTACTAGAAGTTTGTCAACATCCGCATATTCGTATGAGAGAATGGGGAGTGGAAGCTATTACGTACCTTGTCAAAATGGCACTGCAGCATAAATATCCACAACCTTTACGCGATAATCAAGTATGTTTACTGTATATTTGAAAGCATTAGAATTACATTTAAAGTAATCATTTGTTAAAAACGTTATTTAATCTTCCATCACAGAAACTGCAGACTTTACTGCTAGGGCCATTATCGGAATTATCATCAGTACGTCATGGTGATGTAAGACAACGTCAATTGGAGTGCGTTTTACAAGTATTACATGGTGCAGGAGAGACATTATATCATGGTTGGCCCTTGGTACTCGGTATTATTGGAGCAGTATCAGATCATCATGGGTAAATGTCACTATTAGTTACATAATCCAAGTTTAATGAAATATTATTGATCTAGCCGTTGACCCGCGGGTAAATTACCCGTATTTTGTACGGGATTATAATTATTAACTGTTTGCAGAAGACGTTTCCTAAACAGAAACTTCTTTTGTAGAAAAGAACTTTTCTTGATTCGTTTAATGTACATTACTGTCAAATTATTTAATATAAATTTTTCTTGAAATGTGCAAAGTTTAACTATCTACAGTTGAGCGAGAAATTCATCAAATTTTGTTACGTTTTTTTGGATATTCGAATTAATTATTCAGAAACTAATTGAAATTTCAAAATCGGACTTAGATTACCACCTACTCATATCCTTTTAGAAGGCATTTATCAAATTTCAAAATTTGTTATTGAGCCGTTTTCAATTGATGCTGTTACAGACAAAAATCCCCCACTCAGCTTTATTATTAGTGTAGATTAAGGTAGTATGACATTCTTGGTTAATATGTTTTTTTATAACCCATAATATATTTTGGATATTTTACAGAGAAGCCTTAGTCAGAATAGCTTTTCAATGCTTACAACTGGTAGTAACTGATTTTCTACCAGTGATGCCTTGGCGGTGTCTTCCACTTTGCGTCGACACAGCTGCCAAGTTTGGTTCACAAACGCAAGAATTGAATATCTCGCTTACTGCTGTTGGATTAATGGTAAGAATTAATTACGTCCGATAAAGATTTATAATATTTGAAGTTTGTTTTTGTGTGTTAATCTTTGCCTATATGTTTCTTTTTTAAAAAATCGCATAATAGATTGGAAGTTAATATGCTGCGCGAATTCGGTGACAGTACGTTAAAACATTCGATTACGGAAGAAAATCATGATTAAAAGACGTGCATACATTCGGTTCTAGAAGACTTAGAAGCATCTAATCTTGTTAAAGTCGAAGTCAAAGTACCTCAAACAAATTCTATTAAAATTAAGGCAATCAGGCACTTACAGTTTATTAAGAACGCTTTATTACCATCAAACTTTTTGCTTCGCGTACAAGATACAATGCATTAAAGTAGATTCATATATCATCGATAAAATAGATTTTAGAGATTAGATCTTCATGTATTTATATTTTCATATATTTTTTCAGTGGAATATAAGCGATTATTTTTATCAAAATCAAGAAAAACTCTGCGTTTCTCTAAAAGGAGATTCATCATCCGTATTCCCAGACTTTCCTGGTACAACGAATATGCCTGCGTTTGATAAACTTTGGATGTGCCTATATGCGAGATTAGGTAATAAAACTTTTTGGAATATAATAGTATAACCATTAAAAACGTAATTATGAACGTGATATGTTAGGAAATTATTTTATCCCAACAGGTGCCTACATGTTCCACCATGAACGTTTGAACATTTTATTACTTGTTTCTCTACATTTTTTATTATATTGTTGCATAGTGTAACAGTTATAATTGCGCAAAGATTATGTCATCATCAAAGGATAGTCCACTGTAGGATTCAGTAGTTTCCTATAATAATTTTTTATATTTGCACTTAGAAAAGAACTACTTTTTGTTTCATTCTTTAGAATCACTATACTAAAAAGTTCGAGATTTTTAAATCCAAGGCAAACTGATATTGATTTAATTTTTATCATAATGTTTAACATCATGTTAATTTTAAGATACTCAATTTTACTTTTAACTAACTCATTGTTTTATTTTAAAATTTTTAAGGAGACTTATGCGTGGATCCACGACCCGCAGTGCGCAAATCAGCTAGTCAGACTTTATTTTCTACAATATCTGCTCATGGTAGTTTGTTGCATCAACCAACATGGCAAGCTGTGCTTTGGCAGGTCCTTTTTCCATTATTAGACAAAGTAAGGAGCTTATCTAATTCAGCAAGCAGTGAAAAAGTTGACACTAGTGGAAACATACTTATTCATCACAGTAGAAATACAGCACAGAAGCAATGGGCTGAAACGCAGGTAACAATTTCTATATAAATTTTAAGTTTATATCTATATTGATATCTATGACAGAACAACTTTTATGAAGTCACTTTGTAGGTGTTGACATTGAGCGGTGTTGGAAGAGTATTTAATACAAAACGTCAACTTTTACAAATGTTGGGAGATTTTCCTAATGCTTGGTCTCTTTTATTAGAATTCATAGAAAATTCAGCGCTTAGTAAAAATAATGAGGTGTGTGCGAACAATTTTTATCTTCATGAGTGAAAGTAGAAACATGTAACCTTATTTACACCATACTTCAAATCGACAGGTGTCATTGGCAGCTTTAAAATCATTTCAAGAGATTCTATATCTCCAAAAAGGAAGCGATAATAACGAAGTCGTTCAGTCAAATGACTCTGAAGCATTGTGGATTGTTGCTTGTCGTGTGTGGCTTCACATCGGAATGGAAAGTACAACACCACCCCAAGAATGCGAAACAGAACCCTATATACCTTCGCAAGCATTTTTAACTGCGTTGGTTCATATATTTCCAGCTGTTTTCCAACACATCAGAAACAAGTGTGTTTATAAGATTTTTTTAGTAATTGAGCTGTATTTAGCGAAACAAATTTAATAGATTTTATAAACTTTTGGGTATAACATTTATTGTAGGAATAAATTATGATTTCATTTCTTTTTTACAGAGTTACTGGTCCGGATTTACAAAAACTTTGCACAGTGTTAAAAAATGCAGTTGCGGTTCCAGTACACGGCGAATCAACACCGTTTATCGTACCTACAATGCCAGATGTCGTTCTTACTCATTTGCAAGATGGTGTACTTCATTCCATGGAGCTTTTGCAAAAGGTATATAACACTGTCCAACAAATAAAAACCTTCTTTCTGTTTTACAATATCTACCGGGTGATCCTTCTAAAGTTTCTTGTGTCAAATTCTTTTCTTAATCTTTTCAAATTAGAAACCGTCTCGAAATTTTTCTTGGATGGTTTCCTTCTTTCTAAATGTCTATAAAATCTGATATTGTTTATTTGTACTAATAAAAAACTTTTCGTCATTTACAATGATTCGAAACAATAAAACTGAATAAACATATTCATTGATATATTCAGAAAACGCTCCTCTATTTGTTTAAGACAAATTGAACTTTCTGTTAAAAATGATGTTTCTACGAAACCATGTTTTTCTGGATTTATGTTTAGGGCGAGAAACTCTACAAGGATCACCCAGTAGATATTATAAAACAAAATTTGTGTTAAACAATGTAATTTATTTTGTTGATGGAATTATTTTTCCTCCATTCGAAACTAATCTTTTACATTTTGACAGGAAGCACTAAACGGACCTGACAATTTGCGAACAATGATCGTACTAATATTTCTTCAGCTGCTAAGTTTTTCAAAATTGGCTTGTGAAGCGCCTACGTATGGTAAAATACCAACGAAACACATTTCCCAAGTTAGAGGTGTATCTGTGCGTATTTGTACCTTAGATACTTGACCGTGCATTGTCGTTAAGCGGTTATTGTTTAGTATCTCTTACTTATTTAGGCTGATTGGGTGACCATGAATTATGTTCCTTTTGGAGAAAAAGCCTTAGCAATGGTCGTTACATTGTATCAAAAAACGGCACACGAAATGGCAGTAATAGATGGACAAGTTTTAAAACACATTATAGAGGCGTTGCATGTGCCTTTGTTGATGAAATATACTTGCCCATCGCCGACAACTTGGAAATTAGCTGTTACTAGTCTGCTTGCTGTTCTACATACCGGTTTGCCCCTAGCCAGAAAATATCCAGAACAATTTCAAAGTATGTGGCCAGAACTAGCGAATACTCTGGATGACTTCTTGTTTCCAAAGAGGTAAGTTTTAATATTGTCTTTTTTTATTCTCGATTGTAAGCGTCTGTTTTGTAAAAGTTAATAGTTTACATTCGTTCAAAATTTTATGTTGGTCTTTTTGTTGGTTCTAGCGTACTAAATGTGGAACGAGGTGTTGAAGAAATCCAAGCAGATGAAGCCGTAGATTGTCAAGTGATGGAACTACTACGCGACGAAGTGCTACCACATTCTCAGCACATACCTCATCAATTTATCTTACGAGTAGTAATGCTTTTAAACAAAGGTTCCATACATTCAGCAACAACGACAAATATTGGTATGTATAAATTGTTTTTATATTATACAATAATAGACCAATATATAACTGAACGCACATTCCTCCTTAAATTTTTTATATACATAATCCTCTGGTGTTCAATTTTTTCATGTACAGAAATTTCATTTTTTTTTATAAACGCTATAAAAGAAACCCATCCATGTCTATTACTATTTTCCATTTTCTATTTATTATTGTAGAAAATGGTACAGAAACCAAATTAAGGGAAGAATTTGCAAAGACATGTTTTGAAACATTGCTACAATTTTCTCTTCTGGATGGACTAAATAATGAGTCAGAGCATGATACTTCCAAGAAACCTGAACACGATGAAGGAGGCGTAGCAGGACGATTAGCAGTTACTGCTCTTCTTCATAGGTTCCAAGAAGTTTTACGTCGATATATAGAAAATGAAAGGCGAAGTGGAAAGTGCCCATTACCTAGGTAACAGTTTTGTTGCTGATTCTTTCATTTTGTTTTTTTTCTGTTCTTTTTTAAAATTAAAATTAAGTACCGTTTTATGGATAGTAAAACTAGTAATGCTACACGATTATATAAGTCTATAAAAAATATAATAAACGTACACTAATTTTTAAGTACTTACTATATGAACCTTTTCTAGGTACAGATTATCTGAAATTTCATTTGTTCTGAAAGCTGTTGCAACACTTGTAGTGTCACTAAAAAAAGCACCTCCAAATAAAGGTAACTGTAACTTAAGCTACATGAAAGGAGCACGTATCTACTAGTGCATTTTTAGTTATTCTTTTACCATTTACATAAACGTTACTTCTTATCTCGTATTTAAATTGTATTGTGATATCGATTGTCCATGAATTTATTATCACATTTAAATTTGTATTTTATTTTTCAGTTGAAAAGTCAGTATGGGAGCAACTGATCGGATTATACCCTTGTTTAGTAGAATGTACAATTGCTACAACATCGAGCCAAGTTTCAAGATCTTTACGGGAAGCCTTGCTTCAGTACCATGATCTATTGAGGCCACCGATTCACAGTTCCACAACATCAAACGGTGTTTGACCAATGCATACTTTACTTCTTACTCGAAATAGTAACGTTTGCTACACCGCCAAGTAGTAAACTTTTTGTAACTACGGTTACATGTATAATAAACTACGTTACAAAATTTTTACTTCCGTGTAAATGTACAAGGCGAGGCATCCAAGGTGAAGTACTATTAGAAATCATTATTTACACATGTGCCGAAAAGTTTATCTCTCAAACATTAGAAATTTTTCGTTATCATGTAACAAAGGTAAACAAATTTAATTCTCATCTTGGTTTTTATAATGTAAACAATTTAATTTTGTAAATTGCAATAGATTTTTATAGAACAATAGTTTTAATTAGTAGTTTAATACTAATGTAAAAAAACGCATTGATCAGGTACTCATTCAAAGTTTTCGGAGCTTCTTTTCTTTCAAATATTTATGCTTGTACAAAAATGATCTCGAAATTTAAGCCTTCCTTTTAGATAAAAAGATGGTCTTTATATGACGAACAAATTTTTATGTGCGGTGTGATATTTATGGATAAAAGCTGCATACAATTTTTTATTTAACTAACATTACCATTTATAATCAGCAAAAACTAAAGTAACATGTGGTCTATCATATTTAAGTGAAATAGCACGCAACACTAGTTTTAGGAAGTCGAAGCAAGTATACAAAAGTTGTATGAAATATTTATTCCATAAGTGCAAATTGATTAATAACTACAATTTATATACATGCCATGCTACTGTACATAATTGATGTACAAGTTGGCTTTTCTAATACATATTGTAAATACTGAACTAATCGTGACTAGTAGAATATACAGCATAAGACGATTTTATAAATAATATGAAATTATTATTCGCTATTCTTACAATGCTATAATATTGAAGAAACTATGATATAACGATGTAAATAGCTACACGGAAATTCAATAAAAGTCTGAAATATTTATTGCTATTTTTGTATAGAAATCGTGCCTTCACAGGTTTTAGGCTTCATATTTTTTGTATTTCCGTGATTCATAAATATATAGCAGAAATTTTTTAAACACTAAGTTTTTAAAACATTTGTACATGTGACGAAATGAATTAAAATATGTTCTTTACGAACATTTTCTTATTATTTTAATATAATTTAGTAAAACATACTTTCATTATGTTAGCTACGTTGTTGTGCTTAGGATTTTTACTCTATTTTTTTTTTTAAATCACAATCATAATCTAAACTAACTAGTCTGTATTCTGTTTTGAAGACTAATACTACAATATGATAAATAGATTTCATTAGATATTAGCAGTGTTAATGCACATAGTTCTGAACTATGCATAATTGTATAAATTGAATTTGTTAAGGATTTAATATATGCATATGGTACTTGGTTCGATTTCTTTTAATGGGCAAGCGCCATTGTGAGAGTTGAAAGGAAGCATCTTGCAAACGTAGATGTCGCATCGATAACCGGAAAACTTCTAGAAGTTAATCATGTTTCATTGAAAGCGCGTTGTAGAATTATCTTTATTGTACTATTATTTTGCATCGGATATCAAATAAATATGACAAATTTTACCTATATTCGATTGTTTCGAAGTGCGTCGATAAAGAAGTGAATTTGATTCATGGTGTATTTTCGAGCGACGCCGCAGCCATGATTGTTTAGTTTCGGGGGGGATGAAAAGCGAACGCGAATGAGGGATTTGAATGAAACGCGTGTGATCATAACGTATGAACTTATTTCGGTGTTTAATGAGTGTGCCTGTTAATTAAGGGATATGGTAAGCGGTAACGTCGGTTAAAACATGGATCAAGTGTCTATTTACGGAGAATAGTTTTCGCGCGAATTTTCAGGTGTTACGATTGTTGTTGGGTGCCGCCGTCGCTACCGCGGCGCAACACTGCACTTTCAAACTTTCGATCGATTTGTAGCCGATGCAAGACTGTAAAGCAAAATGGGCATTGTGTATGGCCTATACTGACGCGACTTTTATCCTATTTCTCGACGATTCCTCGATTCCGTATACCAATGACGTACCGTTTCTGTGAAAACGTTCGAAAACGTAACCGGGTATCACATCGCATATAAATCGATATACATATACTTACGAATGTGTGTACAAACGCGCGTTTGTGTATGCAACGCTTGAACGCGAGTGTATATACAGGTACTACAAGGAGCCGTGGATCAGGAACGCCCCTTTTTACGATACGATCGAATTTCTTTCCCGCGCAATTTCTAAGACACGATGAAACGTCAATAATCGAAAACATAAAATTGTGTACCTCTCATTTAATCCCTGGACTGATTTCACCTAATTTTTCAGCTTCCTTTCTTCGACGATGATCCCATTTTCGTTGTAATGAAATTTTTAATTTATTTTTATTTGATATTTTTTTTGTCGAATTTGAACCTTGATCCTGACGTGTAGAGAATATAATCAAAATAAATGATGAATGCTGAAAAGGAAACGGAAAATTTCAAAATGTATATCGCATAAATGTAACTGTGTTTGTTTTCTGTTAAGAAAGATATGACCACTTTTTAAATTTATTTAAAATTTTTTGTTTACTTCGTAATTGTTACAATTAAGTTTATGTTTAAAATAGTTTTTCTATTTTAAAGGAAGTTATATAGTACTTTAAGTAATTTGTTATTGAGAAAAATGTAGGATGTATTTTAAATGAGTAAAAGATTTTCCTATGTTTAAGTTTTGCTGAAGATAGTATGTTACTAAATCAGTTATCACGTTTAGTAGCAAGAGAATGTTTTCAGTCAGTCTGTTGTGTTCTTATGTAAAATATGTAATAGAAAAAAGAAAATGAATATATAAAGATTTTTACAATATAAATAATATTTGATAAAATACCTAATAAATCTCTAAATTGTTTTATGCGTGCATTATCATAAATGTGTTACTTGATTTTGTCATTTATAAATAAAAAGTAAAACATGTTAAAAGTATGGAAATAATATTCTCTTTTTATACATTGTTTTAGGGTATTTAAACATTTCCTTGAAATGTGGTTACGAAGTGAACATATTGGTAGACGACTACGTGGTCGCTTAAATATAAGCACCAGATCCAAAGTCTCCAACCATCGAGTACAAATTGGCAGTTTGCGGAAACTACCATCTATCAGTAATAATAATCATCGTATTAATTCACAAAACATGTGCGGCAGACTAACACGATGGAGGCGTAGATGTACACATTTTTTAAAAGAGGTCAGCATTCAAATTTCAATTAAATCTTAGATTCAAATTAATTCTTTTATATATAGTACATTCTTTCTTGTTATCATCGAAGACATTAATACTCAATTATATTTCAAAGTGTATTATTGTTATTAGCTTATTGTAAATGATCTTTGCAGGTCATTTATTAAAACAAACTTCACTGTTTCTTAAAAAGAAAAACTTTCTAACTAATCAGCGATTAATGGTTAATGAGTGACTGACTAACTCGCAAGGATGTTATGCAATTAGATTACTTAGAACTACAATCGAAGCCATTTGGTTAATATAAGGACTCCAATACAGTTTTGTTAAAAAGATTATTATCTTCGTAGGCTTGTAAAGAAAATGTTTTACATTTTGCGAAATCTACACCTATTAGACGAGAGAGAGGACCTCGTAGAAGAAAATGCATAAAGCGATCAATGGTTACTTCAACTCCGTTACATCGATCAACTGCGAAAGATGCAATTCCTGTAAGTTATTATAAATTACTTAATTTCTTTATAATCAATAGTACATTGTCTAAATTTTTTTAGCTATCAAAATGCACAATAATATCTAAAGTCACAGAAGAATCTAAAGAAAACTGGAATACAACTATTTTATCTCTATATTCATCCATATTAAATACAGATTCATGTTGTTCCTCCATATCTACTATAAATGATTTCAAGCCTTCCATTCCAAGTGTATCGCACCTGACAAATCTAATGCCTCCAGCATCTATAGGATCACATTCAGATCTTTCATATGTATTAGACAATGAAGAAACTAAGAATAATGGTAAGTGAATTTATAAAAATTATATACTAATTTATTTTTTCTTTTGTCTGTGCATGTTAAATGAAATTTTACTTGTTATAGATGCCAGTTCACTGTATTATTCTGCTACCTGTACAGAAACAGAAACATCTGAAGAATGCTATAGTTTAATACATTCTACATCCATGTATGGAACACGCGCTTTCTCACCAGAAAAGTATTTTCCAAATGGAAAATACGCACTTAGCAACAACAATGAAAATAACAGCAGTTTATCAAAAAATCAATATTCTATTGACAGTCATTCATCGAAATATGAATCAAGTTATACTACTGTAAAGTATAGCACATCAACCATGTACAGTATAAATCATCATCATTCATCTGATACAAATGGGAATGTTACTGAGAAATACAGTTCCGATGATATTGAGAGTGATTATCACGATGTTGAGTACATGGAAGTTGGAGGTGAGGAAATAGTAGAAAGTTGTGATGTGGAAAATATGGTTACTCATGTGCAGGAAGACTGGGAACCATTTGATCCTTATGTCTTTATCAAGCACTTACCACCTTTAACTCCAGCAATGAGAGCCAGATGTCCTGCTCTTCCACTTAAAACACGCAGCAGTCCAGAATTTAGTCTAGTATTAGATTTGGTATGTTTATATCTAACTGAAATAATAAAAAATTATGAATTGAACACTGACAAAATTTTGATATCTAAATATCATGGAACAAATGAATCTCTGTTAAAAAATATTTCGTTACACAGGATGAAACATTAGTTCACTGTAGTCTACAAGAACTTTCGGATGCGGCGTTTCGTTTTCCAGTCGTTTTTCAAGATGTAACTTACACAGTGTTTGTCAGAACACGACCGTATTTTCGTGAATTTTTAGAACATGTCTCGTCATTGTACGAAGTAATCCTTTTTACTGCAAGTAAACGAGTTTATGCCAATAAATTAATGAATCTATTAGATCCAACAAGAAAGTTGATTAAATACCGTCTGTTCAGAGAGCACTGTGTTTGCGTTAATGGAAACTATATCAAGGATCTGTCTATATTGGGTAGAGATTTATCTAAAACTGTTATTATTGATAATAGTCCACAAGCATTTGGATATCAGGTAAATTAATATTTACGGAATTTAGAATGAAATGTCATAAATTATTCTTTATTCGTACAAAATATTTCTATTACAGTTAGAAAATGGTATCCCCATAGAAAGTTGGTTCGCTGATCGTTCAGATAATGAACTAATGAAGTTGTTACCTTTTTTAGAAAACTTAGTAAACTGGGTGAGTACTCACATTTATACACAATAAGCCATAACGGCCATTAGAAATAAAATAAATTTAATTATTATTGCAGGGAGGGGATGTTAGACCACGCATTAGAGAACAATTTCGACTTTTTAGTTTTTTACCACCGGATTAATTTAGGTAGTAAGCACAAAATTAATGTGGAAGTACCAGCCTACGTCGGTATATACATGTATGTATATCTTAAAAATATTAAGTAGATAAATGTAAGATATTAATACAAAGCGTGCAATAATACACGCCAAAAAAATTATATAATTTGCAATAATATCTTATTAATAAGCATGTCCGGTGGAAAAACATTAAAACGCGTAAAATCCAAAATACAATTACTTTTGCAAACGTTTAAATTACTATCCAGCTACGATTTTCATGAAATTTCAATTAAAAGTTCATTTATTAATGGAACGTATTAGATTTTATACTACATTATTACATTCTTAATCATATTTATTTTAAATTTGAAAATGTCTTGATACATCAAAATTGTATTAAGAAATATATCATAATATAGTAAATATGAGAATCTATATCTATCAAATTTTGGGCAGGTACCAACCAATTGAAATGATAGATAATAAAAGTTTGTAATTTACATACAGACCAATCAAGATTTAATATTAATGACTGCTAGAGCTAATGCGATATGCGAGTAAATACTACGCATAATGTTTTAATTCAAATTGTTTAACAATTGATTCGCGCATCGATTGTTAAATGCTCTAGCAATAAAAGTTGTAATAAATTACAGGCATCTCTCAATTTACATATACTTTTCAGAAGGTGAATAAAAATTAATTTAAAATATACGAATATACGTGTAATATGAAATCGAGAGGTGCCTGAAACATATTTGCATTAAAGAATCATTACTTTTTTTTTTGGTTTTTGCAATTTTATTTAAAAAAATGTTTCAGTTTCTTTTTGTTACAAGTGCTAAGTGTATATAAAATTAAGTACTATATATGCGTACATTCGCTGGATTTTTTTTTTTTTTTTTTAACTTGCAGCTGAACAAGTTTTTTTTTTTAACGAGATTATTTTAATTCAATTTATAAAATTGATTGTAATATCCGTTACACGTAAAAATACACCAAGCACTTAATGCATTTATCTATTCACAAGAGTAACTTAAGAAAGTTGATACTCACAAGGTGAAATTATTGCAATAGTTAACAAAAAACAGTAAAGTTCATCAGATAGAAACAAAATATACTCGTAGAATAAATACAGGTATAAAATAAATATACAGCAAACTTTCAGTTGCAATACCAGTAACTTCTGTTTTCACAAATGTTCTTACTTTTATGCATAGTACGTACATAGCAAAAATGAAATCATGCCTATATAATAGAAAAACCTGTAAAATGGGAATATTGAGCTCGTACCTTCAGTACAAAAAATACTGTTTGCATTTATTACATTTGTAATTGACTATTTCAATTTTGTATGGTTTTAAAAATGTGTCTGCACAAGTAATTTCGATTTGTGTTAAAGCGATGCCCTCGAACATTAGAGTTTTAGTATTATCATTTATCATTTTAATTTTGCAGATGATGATAATAATTGCCGCATTCTTAATCAGTTTTTATCGTATCTTTTTTCTGTTTGTTCATTATAATGTAGGTATACACATACATTTAAAATACGTCTCAAGGAATACGAAGTCTTCGATTCAAGCTTAGTCATTATAGAGGAATATGATCTCAATCTGATTATTTTTAATCAGTGTATTAAAACTATAAGTGCTGAAGCTTTAGTTGAGCACTACAAGTATAAATCAGTATAGATTACAGATTATTTGAGTGCATATATATTTATATTCGTAATGTCTTAATTACGAGTATACGATATGTATGTTCTGTATGAACGTGCGTGTGACAACTATATCATTATACCTACACCTAATAAGATTATAGAATTGCATGTATATCCATAGTCGGAGACCTATATCAAAATGAAACAACCATGCAAAATAATTTAGCACAAGTAACATGAGAATTTATATCTTGTAGTTCTTATACTTCAAGATCACATGTACGTTTCACGTCACAAAATTACAGATGTGTAAGATCGATCCTGTTATTACAAATTTTGAAACTGTTTAAATTTTCTATATTGGATATATTTTTCATTAAGTTCCGAATCTTATTAAAGTTTATACTTTATAATTTTGTATGAGTGCGTTGAGCGAAAATGAAAATAGATTTAATCCTTTTAATTTTATTATTATAAATTATTGTGCATATTTATCATTTCACGCAATGATTTTATTTCCTTTTATGTTAATAAATATTAAATCGCAAGTCGCTTACACTTCTGTTTAGAATAATAAAATTATATTTCTATGTACATTATAATAGCAACTTTCAGACATAATATTTGTTACTGAAAGATACTATCAAGAAATAAAAAATAATAAAAGTAGGGAGATTGTACAAGAAAAATACATGCTTGTTACATACAAAACAAATATTTATGTTATTAATTCTTTTATTTATCATTAAACGATAAATATATTCACATATAACTTGTTCTAATACGAAAGCGAACATTGTTTGTTTAATAACATGCTTGCACATTAAATATTACATTACAAGGAACATTTCAACATTTTCAAATATACCAGACTAATTTTACGTTCTATTTAGTACACAAATGTTTGACTAATTAAAATATAATAGTCATAACCAGTATTTATTGTAATTAAACGCTGGAGACAAGAAGTATGTAACAGACTGAATATAATAATTAGAAAAACTAATATACAGCAGTGCAAAATTGTGTCAGTATTTATTATATATTTTCAAATTTAACTTTTTATGGTATAAAATAATTTGAACATTACTCCAACAACTTATATTTAACTTAAATTGGACATTATTGTATTACACCATAATACACCATTATGTTATTTTAAATACAATTTCTAAGCGTACATTACAATTAGATAGAACACAAGAATCTATATAAAAACTGACTAGAGACATAGTAAAACTTTATTATATAATGTCAAAGTATTCTGTATAAAATAAATGTGCATTGAAAATTGATGCACATTAATAGAAACATACATATGTAGAGATAAATATATATCATCGTTAACTATGTTAAATATATACACAATGTCTATGATTGAAAAATTACTTATTGTCGATTAATACCCATATAAATATACTTAACATCAGAATGATTATTATTGTACATGATTTTTCAGTACGATTCAGTTAAATCAGAAATAAATGTATATAATAACTATGTTTAAAATAATCTTTTAAAAAATGGACAATAATCATTTAACAATCATTTACGATTACTTCCGACAAGAAGCCATTCTGTGAAATGTCAAGTTTACAGATACCTTTTATCGATTATGTATTCTTGCTGTTTTCCAAGAACATACCTACGTTTGGAAATCTTCAAAGTCGTGTTACTTACTTCTCGCCTCTAACGTTTCGCTACTTTACATGATCGCTTGAGGAGAAAAAATGCTGAAAAATGTCACGTGCAGTATTATGTATTTAAAATAACGTTATTTCATGTTCAACGCTAATATAATTTCTATAGTTAACAGTTGTAACAAGTTAACTGTTAATAATTTCTTATTTTCTATACAATTTATTATCCCTCCAAACTCGAACTTCAGATACGTTGAATTTTTATTTATTGTTGTTACTGCAAGATTTGTCATATTTATGTACCTGTGTAGATATATGATATACAATATATATGTACACTTTGAGTTCTCAAACAATGTAGATTTGTAGACTGGTGGTTATATTTCCACATACATATGAAATAGAATTTGTTTTTCATCAATGTTTCTTTTCGTAAAAAAGTATGTATAAATATGTTCAACTTTAAATTAACTTTTTTAATAAAGATTGTATACCAAATTTATTGTAGGGAGAAGTAAAGATCGCTCCTGGCAGGAATTACTAATTATATTGGATTAAATATTTTAGTCAGTCTTCACGAAGACTGCGGCTAATAAAGAAAATTACTCAATTGACACTTCGATTTTTATAAAACTTAGCAGACAAATAGAGCATTGAAAAATGTTAGACACATAGTTTTTATTGGTTGATATTTGTGTTTAAGCGATTAAAATTACCTTTAAAGTTTTGAATAAAATACTTTTGAATAATAAATAAAAGATAAATAACTTTTGATCTGTTATTCGTTCAATAAAAATTACAATTAAATTATGTTCTATGTTAAACAAATAAAAATTTATTCGAATAAGTATTCAATTAAATATACGCAATTAAACTACTGTACGGAATTTTTATTCGTCATCTATTATTGAAATAAAATTCTACTCTATACTGATACTTGTATGTATAATTTAACTTATATACAGAATGATCCAAAACGATTCAACTGCATAAGTTGAGAACTTGCGTGTACCTAAGTGTATTTTATATAGTCATATATCGTACACCATAAGATTGTTACTTAAAGTACATTTTATTATTTAAAATAAAAAAAGTTAGCTTTTTAAAAAAAATTAATCAAATTTTTACTGAATGCTGCACAGTTTTGGCTTTGCATCTTCGTTTTTGGGAACGTTGCATGCATAAAACAGGAACTTATTATCAGTGCAGTCAGTATACCTGAGTTCAACATATCTGAAGTTCGAGTGTAGCTCCTTCTAATCTTCTGAACGCTGGAAATACCTAGTCTCAATGCGTTTGCAGAGATTCACAAGCAGTTGATAGCTCTGGACAATATTCGCCAGTTTGTTACCAGGTAGAGGTGTTGTAATTATTGTGAAAATATGTCCAAAGACTAAGGCATCCAATTCATTTGGTATTCTAAATATAATTAAATAATACAATAATCAATTCGAAATTTAACTAAACGAATAAATATACAAATAGATATATATTTCATGCACTTGTACAAATCTATTGACAAAATAACAATAAATGTTTATAATTGAAAAGAATCTTCCGATAATGGTGGTAGTGATTCAAGGGATTCTGAACAATTCCATAGGGTATCTTTTGAGGGGGAGTTGATGACTTCAAAATCCATTATAGATTCAGCCAAAGCATACTGGAAGTAGTTATGTTCAACATTTATTGCATGCTCAATGAGTTTAGGAAATTGTTTTACGGTTGCAGCAATATCTTCTACAGTGGGACGAAGTTTAGAGCTGAGTAGTTTATGTACATGACCAAACACCAAAGCATCTACTTCATTAGGCCTTTTTAATTTGAAAACATAAAAATAAGATAGTAATGTGCGAGATGCATTTCACTTATCGTTAAAGTTAAGTGTTAAATGAACGTTACGATGCATGTCTATCTAGTGTTTTTATTAAATTCTACTATGAAAGATTAACAAAACTTTTATAATAATTAATCATTGTTAACTTATACTTACTTTTCTCCAGAGAAATATGTATTACCCTCCAGTCTATCGGATAATGCTGTGCAACAATTTTTTACATCTGTACATACTTCCTCTAAAGTCCTATTATACCATCCAAGTACATTGAGTTTCTTTATGACTTCTTTTCTTTTCTGCCAGTTTAAATAGTGATTCAAGGGCCAAGGATATACACTCCCATGTCTTGGCTTAGTTACCTCGTTTAAAGTTACTTCGTCGATCCAAGTAATATATAATTCAGCATTTACAAATACATTATTCACTAACGATATATAAGCTCTCATGTCTGCTTTGCAATTTACAGGTAAATCATCTGATAAACTTATGCCTTTGCTTCCTATGAATGACACAATATTGTCAAATTCAGATATTAAAAATGCTCCGCATTTAATAAATGGCACTCGGCCAGATGGTGACATATATTCCGCATTACTTTTCAGCTCTATTTGAAAGTTAAGATCGCACATTTTAAGGAAAGCTTGTACAGCTAAACAATTTGCACTATCGGGTAACAATATTTGTTCAACCTCGTATGGTTGATATAAAGTAATTGTTTGAGGCCATGTCTCTGGACCTACATGAAAAAAAGGAGCATAATTTAATTGGTGTTTTGAAATAAAAAAGAAAAAATTAGGCTTTCAAATTGTAAACACAAAGATTAACATGGAATAATGTATAAAACTGTTGTGTATAAACATTTGAAGATCACGTACAGATGTAATAAGAAAAAAGTAATAAATAATATAGTAACGCTATTGAACAGATAAAGGTTAAGTATCGTGTAAGTTAGAATCGTGAAATAAAATACTTCAAAATAAAATAAACAATTACCTTCTAATTCAAAAATTAGATCCTCCAACAAAGCACTTGGCATTTTATTCAATTGAGTTTAATATTAAAACTGATATAAAATTTTAATTTTTTCAACTAGTCCGAACTTCGCCAGTGAGAGAGAACAAGGAAACGTTAGAAGCAATCAAATCGGAACTTTTCTAATATAAATAATGAAGTTAATATTTCGAGAACAAGTACATTACAATTCAAGTAGATACATTAAATAAAATAATAAAATTTAATTTTTATAGCAGATACTTTCCCAGATTATTAGCTTTAGTTACCACAATTCGCTATAACTTCGAATCAAAATGTATTAAATTATTTACATATTTTCATATATGTATTAATACTTTTATATAATACAAGCATATTAAAAAAGAATTCAAATAATTATACAAATCTGGATTTACGGAAATAAGCTTTTTCAGATTTTCAACTTTAAACATTTTTTGTCAAGAAATCGTATTAAATACGTGTTTTTAATCGATGATTGCTCTAATGTGAAACCATGAATTTAACAAATAAATATTTTAACTTTTTGATCTTTTTCGAAGTTTCTTATTGTAGAACATCGATTTAATGATTTAGACTGAATCTGTTAAATAACATTCGCATGAATATATTTTATTAATTTTGAATTTAGAAATTTAAAAAATTAAAAATGTTAATGTCAACGTTATATTCATGTATGCAAATACGTATTGAAATTATTTGTTTAAGTATGTATACATTTAAAAACTTGCAAAGAGTATAATTAGATTTAAGTAGTGTATAAATAGTATATTGGTGAATGATAGTAGTATAGTGAAGAATCAGTTTGAATGCTGCAAGTATTTCCGCGCCGGAAATGTTCAACACAACCTGCGCAAAGGTTAGTGCGCTGTAAACAGCAGTTTCTTTCTCTTTCAAACACGCCAAGATGTCGAAGAGAGGTAAGTTTGTTTTCGCGGCTGTTAAGAATCCAAAGAAATCCGTCTAATAGTAACCTATCAATTTAAAACGAATTATATAAATAATGGAAAAACGTTTGATGTGCGCAATGATAGGAATAATTTTATATTAATAACGGTGCAAATTGGAAAAATTAACAATTGTATTTGGGGATAAATCTGCGTAGACGTGTCCGCCGATACCAATAATTAATATGAAATCATTGTTTTTTAAGGACGTGGTGGTTCGGCAGGAGCGAAATTTAGGATATCTCTAGGTTTGCCAGTTGGTGCAGTCATTAATTGTGCTGATAATACTGGTAAGTACTTAATAAAAAATGATACAAATAACACATAACCTCAAACACTAACCATGTTATGGCTATTGATTAACACATGGGCTATGATTGTCATTGTATTTTAAAATGTTTACTAGAATTACCTATACTTCAAATAAGGAATAACATTAGTACCTATCAGTAGTAAATAATAATCTAATAGTTCACTACAAAATAAAAGTCTAACAATTATGTCATTGATAATTTATTAAATATTGCCATTAATGGAATTACTTTTCTTTCAATTGCTTTGTAATATAAGGAATCATTGATATATGAAAAATAAAGTTTAATTTTGTACAATTGAATATATATTGAAGTTTAGTTATTTTTGCATTATTGTATAGTAAGCAAATTTAGTATGAATATAATATGGTAAATGTTACATACGACGAAGTTGATTTAATTCAATATGGGGATAAGAAAATGTCTATATATTTTAATTATAATTTTCAGTTATAAAATTTAATAAATATTTTTTTACAGGTGCAAAAAATTTATATGTCATTGCAGTTCAAGGAATTAAAGGCAGATTAAATCGCTTACCAGCTGCAGGATCAGGTGACATGATTGTTGCCACTGTGAAAAAGGGAAAACCTGAACTCAGAAAAAAAGGTACTTTTAGTTAAACTTATCAATTTTACAAATTATAGAATTTGTAATTGTGTTTATGTATATTTGTTTTCCACATATGTAATCTTACTTTATAATGTAGTAATCACTACTGTATAAACAATTTTATGAAAATTGAATACTTTATAGAATTTTCATTTTACTTGTTTGGAGAATTACAAATAACTATTGTTTTAAACTTATATTTCTATTCTTATAATTTTATATATTTTTATAGTTTTATAGATATCTACGTTGATCAAAAGATGCATATAATTGTGGAAATAAATGTAATTATGGTATTTTTAATATCATGTTATTGAGACAAAATGATTTAACTTTTTAAGTTAAAATTTAAAAAAATATCTTTTGACACCTTTGGTAGAAATAGCATTTAATGAATTATGCCTGCGTAATAAAAACTATATTCTATTTCATAGTTATGCCTGCAGTGGTAATAAGGCAACGGAAACCATTTCGAAGGAAGGATGGGGTGTTTATATATTTTGAGGACAATGCAGGCGTTATAGTAAATAATAAAGGTGAAATGAAAGGATCAGCTATTACAGGACCTGTTGCGAAAGAATGTGCAGATTTGTGGCCCAGGATTGCATCTAACGCTAGCAGTATTGCTTAAAACGTACTGTATAAATTTATTGTCCTTAATAAAATATATTTGAGCATTTGCTCAGAACTTCTTTTTGTATTTTTTTCTTGTTATAATCTTTCGTTTGCCAATCGTTAAATAAATTAAGATAGAATAAATATTATCTTACCAGGTAAAGTAAGCGAGTTACACAGTTTTCAATTAAAGTTATATGAAATGGTAGATCTATGTTTACTAAAAATATAAGCACAATGTTAATTGAATGTGTTTATAAATTTCTGAAAAAAGGAGGTCAGCGTTTGGAAAATCCTATTTTTCAAAAAGGAATCGTTTATTCGAAGAAAGATGATTTTTTTTAAATTTATAATTATGTGTATCTTTAGGAAAGGTATTGTTATATTTCAGTAATTATTATGCAGCTTGATCTACAATCCATTATCAATGCAGATCAACTTAAATGCGAATGCCAGATTACTGATAATAAAATAATAATGTTAAAAAGAGAAGAAATAGAAAAAAATAGTTTAATGCTTATTACATGACTATGCTATCTAAGAAGAAGGAATTTTGCGAATATCTTGGAAACTAAGGCATTGCGGCGGTTATATGTATAAGATAAAGTTGTTCAAAATCTTATTTTTTATAACATATTTTACTTTCCATCAGTTTCTTAACGTTGCGCAATGCGTTCCTGATGTCTCTTTCCATAATTTTGGATATTTCTTGTTGAAAGTACCTCATCTTTTGCCGTACACTTAGAGGAATCCCTGTATCGTGGAAGAGAACTGGTTGGTAGGTCAGATTCCAGAAAGTTTAGGTACCTTTGACCAGTCAATGTTCCTTTAAAGAAATGTGGACCAATAATCCATTTGTCCAAAATTCCACACCAAACATTTACAGTGTATCGTATTTGATTGTCAGTGTTCCTTCTGAGGCATGGATTTTCAACGGACAATGTATGTTCATTATGTCGATTGAACATCCCATTATTTATAAATGTCACCTCGTCTGTCCACAGAATTTGAAATACATAATTTTCATTTTCCTGAATACGCCGTAAGAAATATCGACAACAGTTCATTCTTCAGATTTTATCTCCAGGCCGCAATGTTTGCCCAACGGGAAACCGATACGGATAAAAGTTCTGTGTTCTTAGAATGCGTTGAACCGAGGATTTTGAAATTCCACATTCTCCAGCCAGATCTCTCACAGACGCATGTGAATTTAATTCGACGTTCGCCAGCATTACTGTCACACTACCTTCATCTTTAACAACTGGTTTGGGCACGTCTCGTTTTGGTTTGTGGAAAGACCCGTATTGATGTAAATTGGACTCCAGTTTGTAAAAATATGAACGCGAGGACTGTTGCCGATTGAGATACGTTTCTCGATACAACCTTGCGGCCTCGATACCATTTTGATTGCATTTGCTAAACAAAATGAATATATCGACTGCTTCACTATTCGTAAATGCCATAATTTCGAAACACTGGGACAGCAAACAATCGCACACGAATAGTAAATAGTTACTGATGGAAATCTTAATCTTACAGTGACTAACGAATAAGTTTAGGACATAAGTATGTTAGTACTTTTATGTAGAGCATAAGAAACTACATCGACTGCTGCAGTCAAAAATGTAGGTTTTCATTTTAAAAAAAAGTGCAGTTGCATTTATCTGATGCACCAATGCACAAAAGTGCATAAAATTAGTTGCATATTACGCATCGTTTGATACCATTTAACTTTGACTTATCACATATTTTTCTATTCCCAACCGTTTAGGAGGTATAGCCTGTTCCAGTTGCGTGGAACACCCTGTATATTTACATATTGGAGGTAGTCGAGACTCAAAATCATATGCCGATTGTTGCGTGATCGAATGTTAGATGTTGCAAGAGCAAGAAGGAAAGGCTCACACTCGTCTTCTTTCTCGATTTCTCGAAGTTGCACGAAGTCACGTACAGACGGTCCATGCGGTAGTATGTCTCTGCTTTCTTTAAACATCAACAATCCTTCTTAAGATTTATATAAATCGTTTTAAAAAATTTGTGGAAATAATGTATATGTATCGAAATAATTATAAAACTATAAGACGTATAATCATCATTATCCGGAAGCTGATTACGCTCAAAATCTAATCAGACCTTGAAACGAGAACATAAAACCTAAATGTAAAATTGTATTGAAATTCATTCAGTCGTTTAGACGCAATCATGTTAATAGCATGTTGAAGTCCAAGAAAGAACACGAGTTGGTGGCGTAGACTAGTATTGGATATTATGGGATATATTCAGAGCGACATTTGTATAACGATAAACATTTATTAGTAATCAAGCCTCGCTGTAGCGGTTGTTAGGACGCTGTCTATTGTTTTAAACATATACAGTTGCTCACAAAATTGAGCGTACACTTATGTAGTTAATAAAAAGTTGTGGGAAAATGAACATAAACAGACATATTTATAAGTAAAAACGCATTACACATTTTACTTGTACATTTCAGCAGATACTGCGTGAAGAAATTTTTAAACAATATTTATTGTTCATTTATGTTTAACAAAAACTGCAGAAGTATGCTTATTTTATCGTCACAAAATTGAGAATACAGTTTATTAGTAACTAGAAAACTAACTTTTGAAAA